GTCTGCAGAGAGAAAAGTCTACAAGTCTAGTGTGAAAGTCCTTACAGCTAAGAGGTTGATCAAAAAGTGTATGAAGTCAAGATCTCCCAGAACACCAAAAACTCCAAGGCCTAGGAGAAATCTGAAGCCTTCACATCTTTTGCAGCCCCCTTATGTTCTAAAATGATAACTTGTTTTTTTGGTTTTATGTATTTTTTACTTATTAAGTATTTAGACTTATCATGAATTTAAGTATTTAGATTTATTATGAATTTAAATATTTGACTTATTATGAAATTAAGTATTTTCAGACTTAATATGCTTATATTTTCAGACTTAATATGCTTATAATATTTCGCAAGTACAACTAGTATTACTATGTCCAACTACCCTGTAATATAGTATTACTTAAAATCATCGCAAGCAAACTTAAATAAAAAAAACGTGCACCGACATCGTGTAAAACATTAAAAACGTGCTTAAAAAAATCAAATATTTAACACTGAGTTGTACCAAGAAACCAGTTGTACTTTAACTGTAAAGAGTTGTAAAGAATTGTACTTTGGCCCTAAAAACTTGTAATTGGTGGTACCATTCTCTAAATAAAATTTCGTTAGTTGTACTTACGAAATTAAGTATATAAACAACATTCTAAATATTCCTATATAATTAAATATGTACATATACTTTGCTAGTTTGTTTTCCATGTTAGTGTGGTTAAGATTGTGAAAGTAACCTTAGAAGTGTATGGTAGATTATGGAAAGATAACATCTTCATCAAATCAAATTATAAAATTTGTATTTAGCTCACTCATGTAGTTGTGGAAATATGTTTGCAATATTTTGATGACCTATTTAACATGAGAATATATATATATATATATAAAAGCATTTTATTAAATGTAATTATAAGTTACACTAGTTGTACCAGTTGAACTAAAATGTAGTTGTACTAGTTGTACTATTATGACAGTACAACTACAATGTAGTTGTTCGAGTTGTACTAGTCGTACCAGTTGTACCAGACATATTTGACGCGGAATATAGGGTTGTGCTAGTTGTACCTAGTCATACCTGATAGAAATAATATGCATACAAGTCTCAGTCATACAAAGTTGCACAAATACAAAAGAGATTACCTCCAAAGACAACTAACATCCAGAGTTTTCCCTCGGCTCAAACCACCTCTGAAATAGCACGCGACTCTTCCTCTTTCTTCGAGGTTCTCCAACCCCCGGGTGACGGGTCACTTGTTTTCTTCCTTTCTTTATCTTGTAAGGCTTTGGTAAGACATGTTGGGATTGTATTTCCTCAGGAACATCCCAAGTAGAATGATGAGGTACCAGATTGATCGTTCTGCAATACGCTAATGCCCACAGCTCCATCCAATAAAACTTTGAGCAAAATTCAGGTATGTTAAGCTCCTTGTCTGATGTTTCTGCAACCTCTATGATGGCGGCTAGTGCATGCAAGCATGGATACTTGTGTATATCAAAATACTTGCAGCTGCAAGTCTTCATGTTCAAATCAACCAAATAAGGAATGCCATCTTTACCAATGACATTGTACTCACGCAGAAAGGTGTTTAGCTCTTGCACAATTAACAACTTTGCAACCGGAATCTGGTTATGCAGTTCTTGATGCACACGCGGCACTAGCGTTTGTGTCTCAGGTACTTCAGCACAAACCTTTCGATATTTGTTAAACCACTCAATGATCTTTGCTAAAATGACATCAATCATTGGTAATAACGATAACTTTCTTGCGTCTACCAAAACATTGTTAAGACTTTCAACAGGGTTGGTGGTGTCTATGTTGTAACTGTCACCTGGAAAATAACATCTAGCCCATTTGCTCTCATGAACATTGTCATCCAGATACGTAGCAGCAGCGGGATACCTTTTCCTGAAATCACGGTACAGTATTTGAAACTCAGACTCTGTATAGCTGTGAGCACACTCCAAAAACTTTTTTCAAGTACATCTTTCCTAACCCCAGAAACGGCTGCTTTCACGTTCTGACACAAATGCAATATGCAATACGCATGATGAGCCTTTGGGTAGACCTCACTTATTGTCTTGATTATACTTGCATTCCTATCCGAAAGAAACACAAGCTCAGGAGCATCTGGTATTATTGTTTTCAACATATTAAAAAACCAGCTCCAACTATCATTTTTCTCACCATCAACTACACCAAAAGCAATGGGATAATGGTGGTGCTCTGGATCCTGAGCAAGAGCAATTGGAAGCACTCCACCATGTACATTCTTCAAGTGTGTTCCATCCACACATATCACTTTTCTCATGGCTTTAAAACCTTCAATGCAAGCTCCCACTGCGATGAATAGATACAAAAACATATTTTCCTCATCCACTTCCACTCGTGTCACTGTACCAGTATTTACTCTCTCCAACATATGCAAGTAAGATGGCAGCATATAAAAACTCTCTTCCGGACTACCCTGCACATCACTAGCAGCTTTAGCTTTCCCTCTCCAAGCAGTAGAATATGAAACCTTAACACCAAGTCTACGCTGTACCAAATCTACAAGAGTTTTTGCAATTGGAGTTTTGTATTGGCCCGGATAATCCTCATGTACCACAGATGCAACCAAACTCGGTGTGCCTTTCTTTTTGTCTTTGATTACAGCAGTATCCAGCCGAGAGCATGAATGCATATTCCGATATGTTGCTACGGTTGAAAAACTTGAATCCTTAGGTTTTGAAACCCGCAAGTGCCATCTGCAACCTTCTACACGACATTTTACCACATATAACTCAGGTGTTGACTTCACCACACGAAACTCAAAGCACTCTCGATGCACAGCTTTCAGCACTAATTCTTGCACTTCCAACTTGCTTCTAAATTCTTGTCCTACAACCAGATCCAGCCTATCTGCCCATTCAACATTAAGAACCTCATCATCTTCTACATTAGGTGTAATGTAAGCAGTGTTATACGAACAATAGCTATCCCTATAAACCGCTTCATCACCATGAGCATTTTCACCATGAGCATCTTCACCATGAGCATCTTCACCATGAGCATTTTCACCATGAGCATCTTCACCATGAGCATCTTCACCATATAAAACATGTGGAACAATCGCCAACTCTTGAACAACACCAATACTATCATTTACTCTACCATCACTCACAAACTCATCATCCCTTCTGATCTGCTTAGAACTCTGGCTTTCTGAGTTCAATTCTGTAAGCTCCACGTGCAAAACATTCCTACACTGGTTGCTATTGACTTCCATTATATATCCTAAGACATCTTCATCATTCAAGATATAGGAAGGCCTTATAGGTTCGACTATCAACGGAAGGTAACTCAGCACAAGCTTTGTCGTCGCCTCATCTACCATAATCTTACTCCTTATCCTATTAACTAACCGACAATAAGTTATCTCCTCTAACTTTCCCCTCATAACTAGAGTAGAAATACCACGTTCTTTCCTATTCCATCGTACATCATCGCCATGATCTGAATAATATCCGCCGTGATCAAAATGTATGACGAAACAATCTATTATCCTCTGTAAAAGAACAATAAACGACATCAGCACGCAATAGTTGTACCAGTCCTACCATTTGTGTACATGTATTTATAGTAGTTGTACCCGTTATACCACTTATACAACCTATACAAGTTGTACCAGTTATACTAGTTATCCGGTTATACTATATGTATCAGTCGTACTAGTTATACTTTATTCTAGTTTTACTAGTTATATCGGTTATACCCTGTTTATCTCATAGTTTTACCTATGGTACCAGTTGTACTTCCTAGTTCTGTTATGATTTTATAGCTTTCCAATGTATAACCCTATTAGATTTTGAAATGAAGTTTACTATGTCTATATACTCTAACGAAAATCAACAAAGAAACACACAGCAAACGATTTTGAGAGAGAGAGAGAGAGAGAGAGAGAGAGAGAGAGAGAGAGAGAGAGAGAGAGAGAGAGAGAGGGTAGAAAAAGTAAGAAGAAGGAAGAAGAACAAACCTTGCTTTGATCTACTGCAATGTGGAGAGTGCTGCAATGTGGAGATGTGAAAGAAAACGAAAAGAAGAAGGAAGAAAGAGTTAATTAATGGGATTGGGTGGAGTTGTTGAAAGAGAGTGAATGCTCTCCTTTTTATTTTTGTTGCTCGCAGATGGGGGGAAGAGGAAAAAATGCAATTTTTTTTTTTTAATGAAATGAGAATTCATTAAGGCTAAAATAGGTAATTCATTTTAGTAGTTGTACCTGTTATACCATTTATACAACCTATACAAGTTGTACATGTTATACTAGTTATCCAGTTAGACTAGATATATCAGTCGTACTAATTATACTTTTTCTTTTTTTAATGAAATAATTCATCAAGGGTAAAATAAGTAATTCATATTAGGAAGGTTATGAGAGATTAATGAGGGTTATTTTTGATTTCACTTCTTGTACGGAAGGTTATCGGAAGGTTATCTCAGATTTTGATCCTTATATGATTCTAATTACTTCTTCTGGTTAAGAATTTCTCGTTTGCTGTCAACATTACTAGGATTCTAAAATAATTATCTATTATGGGCTTATCTCAGGGCTTTCACAATACTATCCAACCACTTGGTTCAATTGGGTTCTTACTGTGTTTAGCGTGTTTGTAACTCAATAAGCTAACCCGAATAAACCGGATTAAGAACAGAACCAAGATTTGGGGAAAAGTTTTAATGGTGTGGAATACGAGCTTTAACGAGATCGAAGCAACAATCTGAAACAGCAGCAGTACCATGTGAATCCACGCAGATCTACCGAGAGAGCAATCTCGAATCTCACAGAGCAATAGAAACACACCAATTTTATTCCACAAACAATTTGGTTCTTAGGTTTTTGCTTAGACACATCGCACTTATTATCGTCGTAATTGTATCACATCAAACGATCCAGATCAAACACGAAACCAGAAATTCGGAAACACAACACACAGATCCTCACTCCATAGTTACATATCGAAGAGAAGGGAAGGATTTTAATTGACCTAGGAGATAACTCGGCCAACGACGGGATACTTAGCTTCGAATTTCTTCTCCCAGTCATTAAGAGTGGTGATCTCTTTCTCCGTGAGGCCTTCGAGAGAAGGAGAGACGTCTTCTTCGCTCTTGCTCATCTTACCCAGGGCTCTGCTCGCGTCTTTTCCGGCGAACATCGCGTAATCGCCTCCGTTTCCGTAGAAGGATTTTCCGGTGGTTACGTCGAATACTCGGCCCTTGATTGCGACGTAGATCGGCTTCGATTCGTCGGTGCCATTGTACTGGCTCAGCTGCTCAGCGGTGAACTCCATTTTCTTCTCACGCTCTGAATCGAATGTTTCTGGGAAGAACGAAAATAAAGGATGAGAGAGAGAGATAATGGGGGAGTAATTTTATAGTGGAGTGTAGTCATTTTTATTCGAAAGAAAATCATTATATTTCGAATCATTTTTATAGTGGAATAACTTTTTTCATTGGAGTAAACCAATCCGGTTCGGTTCGAATATTTGGGAAAAAAATTAGCCGATGTTATTTAAGGTTCAGATTTAATTTCGGCTAATTTTTTTTTTTCAAATCGAACAGCCCAAACCGAATTTGGGGTGAACCAGTCTGGTTCAATTTGAAAATTCGGAGATTCGGTTGTTCGATTTGGAAGAAATTAGACCGGAATCATTTTATAGTGGAATAACTTTTTTCATTGGAGTAAATCTATCCGGTTCGGTTCGAAAATTTGGTAATTCGAGTAATTCGGGTTTTGGAAAAATTTAGCCGATGTTAACTGAGGTTCAAATTCAGTTTCGGCTATTTTTGTTTTCATATCGAATAACCCAAACCGAAGTTGAGGTGAACCAGTCTGGTTCAATTTGAATATTCGGAGATTCGGTTATTCGATATGGAAGAAATTAACCGGAATTCGGTTTGATGGAAGTTAAATTCTAACAGATCGGTTCATTATACCAAAGCAAATCAAATGCCAAACTAAAATATGTGGACTATATCGACCGGTTTTAAGATAGAAACCAAAACCGAACCGAATTGGCCATTCAGTTCAGTTTGACTAATTTGGCTCGGTAATTATGCACATCGCTAATTTCTACTACACCAAGACGCAGTGCTTAAAATTTCAGAAAAGTAAAATCAAAATAAAATTCGATCTATATTGAACTAAAAAATAATTTGATACATCATGTCTACACTCAGAAATTTATGTGTATTTGTAAAGAAAGAATTTTAGAGGATTAAGGGCTAGATTCCCTCGAACAGATTGACTGTATAAATTAGTACTAACTGGAATAAGGACTTTGTATTAATCGGTCGAATGAAACGGTTACAAGGATTTCGATGAAAAAGATGAACTAAAAGGAGCTCAAGGAGCAGTTACAATGTTTTCGAGTGTAAAAAGTGAGTAAAAAGATCAAGCCGAAGGTCCTCTGAACTAAGCCATTCTCCTCCTTTATATAGCTTGCCTCGTCGAGCTTCAAGCTCCAGCGCGTATCTCGGTCACATGCAGCAGTCTCAGCCGGATATCTTGCCACGTGCAGCAACTTCCTCCGCGATCTTCGGACTCGTTTGAACCGGCGAGAATATTCTCTGACTTGGCTCGGATTCTTCCTTGTTTCTCGGGATTTGGTCGAGCTGAAGCTCGACCTCGCCAATCGGAGCGTCTTGTTGCTCAGGATTGGATCGTTGAAAGGTGAATGGGCCTAGGCCGCAGAGTTGAAGCTCAGTCATTTTGGCTTAGTTTGGACCTGTCCGTTGGGCTTGAGTGGGCCGGATTTGGGGTGTCAAATCCAGCTCCAACAATTGCCCCCCAACCCATTAAAGAGAGCGAGCTCGAGCTTTAATGGGCGGCAAGATGGGACTTTTGAAAGATTTAGTGTTTGATTATGCTGACGTCATGGAGTCGGATAATCATTCGAGATCGACGGTTCAGATCTTGGAAAGGTGAACAGTTTGTCGATCATGCGGTCGAGAATCGACCTCGAGACCGTAACTTGGCGTAATGAGATAAATCTGTTATTATCTCGTCCAGGTGGACGATCGAGATTCGAAGTAAATATTATCACTTACTTTTTCAGTTTCGGCGGTCGAGCTTCCCGGGGCAAGGTGTATCCCTCGAGGAGATTCGTGCTGAGATTCAGTGACGTGGAAGGTCCATATGGAGAGAGAGAGAAGGTCGATCGAACGGCCTCGATTACACGGGCTTCTGCAGCGCGTCATATCCTCGAGGTCGAATATTCGACGGTTGAAATCGAGGGATCGAATGGTCGAGATCGGCGCGTGGCCAGATTCTCTGCGATCCTCGAGGTGGGCAATTATTACTTAGATATAAAGTCCACGTTCCCACTTCTTCTTTAATCGCATCAGTTCGTCGATTAAAAGTAACAACTTCTCACTTTCTCTTTTTATTTTCTGCAACTTCCGTTCATCGCATTCTCTCTTAGAAATCGCTTGCTAGGTTTTTTTTTGTTTTCTGAAAGAACTTCGATCTTCATCCTTGAGTTTTTCTAGGTTTTAGCGTCTTTATTCTCTCCCCCCCTTCTTTTCTTTCTGATATCGGCCATCGTGAAAGTTGAGGGAGAAAACTCCGGGAGGGCAGCTGTAGTCCCGGGTCCCTTTAAGATCAACGACCAACAAACTCTTGACGATTTTCGTCGGGAATGCGAAATCTCCGACTGGATAGAGCTGGCGATTCTGGCGTCGACGGAGACTCCGGCGAGGGTTGAGCCGGGCTTTTGTTGCGCTTATGCAAGATACTTCCGGGACTGCAGGCTTTTCTTCCCGATCCCTCGATTCATCCTCGAAGTGCTGGCGGACTTGCGGTTAGCTTTCCCGCAGATGTGCCTGAACTTGGTTCGGGCCATCATCGGATGTGCCGTGCGGGCCAAAGAGGAGAAAGTTATCTTTTGCTATTTTGATTTGAGAGCGTTCTTCTCCGTCAAGTACAACGTCCGCTGTCCCGGGACTTTCTATGCGTCCCCGAGGTTAAACCGGCGGTTTATTGAGGAGAGTCCGGAGAAAGATTCCGGTTGGGAGAAGACCGGGTTTAAATTCCAAATTAACGAAGCGTCCGTTGGGGACTTCGACTTTTCCCGGCTGCCAATCGAGTTCGCGGGCAACGGTTGTTTAGCTAGGCTCGAGTGTTCGTTAGCTATATTCGCTTTGATATGCTCGTCGAGTTTTATGATCCTTTGCTGGTTTTTGTCTATCAGGTCAGCTATCTAGAGCACTCAAGGATCCCGATATCGAGCACCGGCTAGAGCTGTTCAGGCGAGGAGAGGTTGTCTGGAGCACGTTCACACGAGAACGAGTTCGACGAATTCTCTCATCACCACCCTCGACTCCGATTGTTGCACCCGGTAGGTCTCCTTGATTTTTTTGTTTTTGGATGAGCTAGTGCTGTGACTTTTGCTCGTTGAATAACGTATTTGATTTGTCTTGCCGACAGCTGGAGTTCTTCCTCTCCGTTCTATTTTACCTTCTTCTAGTTCAGCAAGTTCAAGTTCAGCTATGTCTTGCAAGCCAACATTTCGTCAAAGAGCTAGGAAAGCCGTGGCCGGCCCCATCAGCTCCAGAGTTCGCTCCGGAAGCGTCAAGGAGGCCCTTGAGGCCGCGCTCGCCTCAGCTGCTGCTTCTGCACCTCGACTCGGCGATGAGGAGGTTGAGCAGATGATGGATCTGCAGCCCGACCCCCCTCCCAGGTTAGTGGGGGCGATCTCCATGAGGTCAGGCAAAACCCAGCAACCCACTGATGACCAAGGAGCCGAGCAGTCTTCCCAGCCCGCCTTCAAGAGGCCGAGAGGCGACGGGGGAAGTCGTGCCGCTGAACCGCGCCCATCAGCGTCCAACGGGAGTGGTGCCTTCCACTGGAATTTCGAGCACACCAAGGATCATCCGATCACGGATGACTCCGAGGGCATGACGGCCATGTGGCATCATTTCAAGCCCGCTGGGTGCCAACTTCCAGCTCTCAAGAAAATGACTGAGAGGGAGCTCTACGTGGAGATGGCGGCGGCCCAGGGGAAGGTATGAGAGTACATTTTGCTTTGTGTAAATTTGGTTAAGTGTTACTTGTTTTAACGATTTGGTTCTCGTTGCCTACAGGCTGCAGAGACTGGGAACCGGCTATATGCTCGTCTTGAGCAAAGGCTGCGAGATGTTACACATCCGGACGAGATCAAGGAACTGGGGGTGGTAGTCGGCAAGCTGAAGTCCGACATTGAGGCCGCAAATGCGCAGGTCGCTCGCTAGACTAAACACCTTAGGCAGTTCAAGGGCCAGCAAGCTCACATCACCGACCTCGAGAACGAGTTGGATGACAAGGGCGAGAATTTCAAGGTTGCCACCAACCAGATCTTCGAGGCTCAAGCCGAAGCGGAGCAAGCTCAACATGAGGCTGCGGTCTATAAGGAGGAGAATCTCCGTTTGGTCCACGAGCGCGAGAGTGATGTCCGTAAAGCGAGCCGTGAGGTTCGGAAGGATATGTCTCGGAGGTTCATGGAGGTAATCGAGGGCTTCAAGCTGAAGTGGGAGAGGAAGAAGGCCGAGGGCGTGGCCGAGTGTGATCTCCAGGAGTGCATTGCCAACAAGGAGATGCTCGAGCAGCTCGCCGCGAAGGCCACTACTGTCGAGGAGGAGCTGGAGAGGGTGACCAAAGAAGAGGAGGACTTGGGAGCGGCTTTTAGGGCTACCTAGGTCTCAGATTTCTTGATCAGCAGGCTGAATCTCCCCGTGATCTCCGAGGACTCGATGGCTATGGACGTCGACCCGGTTTCAGGTGCGCCCGCTGGCCTATATCAATTTGGTACGAATGTGGAGGAAGGAGGAAGTGACGAGGCGAGGAGGGAGGACGATGACGAGAAGGCAGGTGGTTAGCTCGACGGCTGACCGTGGCTCCTTTCTCTTTTAAATTTATTTTTCGAACTTGGTTGCCCGGCGGGGCTTTTACGCTTGTTTTGGTGCCCGGGAGGGCTTTAATCCTTTTTATTCTTGAACTCATCCGTGCCCGAAAAGGCTTTTGTTTAATGCAATCGGGCTTTATGCCTTAGATTTTGTTTATCTTTTGTCTCTTGCATTTTTTTTCGAGTAGGATATTTGCTAAGTCGTTTAATAACTTAGGGAAGCGGACTAGGATTGTCAAGCTCGAGGCTTAGGTCGCTAGTCATGAGTTCGATGCTCGAGCTGATAGCTTTGAGCTCATTGCTCGATTTATCGGGCTTAGATAAAACGATTAGGTCGCAAAAGGCGATCTGTTTATTCTGAGAAAATGGCTAAGTTTTTAGCTCGACTTTTCTTTAGTTTTTAGAATATG